AGTTCTTTTACTGTGGCAGGTTTTGCTTCAAATAGTTAAAAATAAAAGAACAAGTTTCATTCGGACCTTTTTTAGACTAGCCTGTAAGGTAAAGAAAAGACTGGGTACTGCTGTCTTTTAAGTTATAAATACTAAACAAAATACTGATAGCTGACGTAAATAAAAAATATCATGAACTGGAATCGACGGTAATGAAATGTTTTGCATATAATCTTAGCAAAGTCCAATAACGCTTATCATTATCTTTGCACGTTTTTTCCTTGTTTTAAATGCTATGGTAAAATTTTTTAGTGCATCTTTTATGCACCGTAAGTTCAGCTAAGGCAGCTCTTTTAGCTGTTTCATTCAAAGAAGAACTTGTGCATTAAATATTTAGTTCTTTACATTGACTTGCGTTCACCCAAATTTATAGTCGAAATGCTTTTTAGAAATAGTGTAATCTATATAATCCTTTAAATAAGGAGTGCATAATTTTGACATTAACTTTTGGTCTAGGTATTGATATTCTTTAAATGAATAATGACTTTGTTTGACAGGAAATAAAGAAATGTGTTTACGTACAATGCGCCTAATATTAACAGAAAAAGTTTTTCTATGATTCTGTAGACCCCTCAAATCTTTAGGAGATTTTCCGAGATGCAAAAAAACTTAAGTAAGCGGTATGCTCCTTAACAACTTATGCCGTGTAGACTTAAAAATGCATGTTAACAAACTTTGCGTCGCTCTGTGCTAACCAATACAAAATAGTCAAATAGTCAAAGGATGAAGTTCTTTGTGATGCTTCTTCTTTACGAGGCCATCTCTTCCTAATAACTTTTGACTTTATTGAACCTTGCAGATAAATATCTTGTTCATTTTTTGTGGAAAAAGAATATAATTTTTTGATTATCTCAATTTTGTCTGCTGCGCTTACCTTCTCAAAACATTTTGACTTGCACCTTCAATAAAACACAATTTTTCAATAAATTACAAAAATAATAAAAACATTTGAAACTTACGTGCAAGGTTTTCCAATGGTTTTTCCTGGAACCATGTGTCCTTGGTAATTTGTATATGGTTGTCCCAACAACCGATTTCTCTTAATTTTAAAAGTTTCAAATTTGTCTGGGTTTTTAACTCTCTTCTTTGTCTTTTTTGTAATTTCAGGATCACTCATATTAAATCCAATACGTCCCATTTTACATAACAATCGCCGAAATATCAAAGTGTTTGTCTATATAACAACCATTTGTCATTTATCAACACGCAAAATCGCTGTGTTCATGACACTACTAGCGCCAGTCAAAGATCAGTGGCAAATTTATAAAGCAATGTAAGTCAATGACTTTATCCAATATCGTTTCGTAAATAGATAAAGCTGCTTACCTATCAACAGCACTGATATAAGACTTATAATATTTTATGACTAAACGTTAGATATAAGTATTCATAACAAATTTTCGTCACAATATCAATTTACATAAAGTAATATCCTTTATAAATAAGCGATTGAAGTAGACAGTTAACTGACCTGTTATTTAGAACATCTTGTACTACTTGCTTTTTTATTTCGGATTTTACTAAAACCAAATTATTATCGAAATAAATTCGAACAAACTAGCAACTTGGTCAAATTAAAAAAAAATAGTACATTGTTTACCGGGTAGGAAAAGCTTAACATTCCTGGACGACTGTGAAGATTGCTAAGTCGAGGCGCAAGCCGAGACTTAGCAACACAGAGTCCAGGAATGTGGCTTTTCCTACGGGGTAAACATACTATTTTTCCGCCGCAAATCGTTTAAAATTCGACAGATATTGATTGATTTAAAAAAAACGCGATAATTTTATTCCCAAATAAATGGTGCTTTGAAATTCCTAATAAAATTACTTGGGTTACTATGGAAACGTATTGAGGTTGAATTGTCAAACTATATATACATTTATGTAGAACACTAACAACTGTACGGAAATATCATTTCCTTACAGTAAGGAAATGACATATGCTTACAGTAAGGAAGTCCTGACTTTTTCTTCAAGAAATTTTGACAGGAATGTCAAAATTTCCTGGCGATTTGCGGAAAAATATATTATATATCCTTCTTCTAGGAAATTACCATCACATGAACTTAATGTTATTTGATCGGATAATGGAGTTGGTTTAAGTGTGAAACAAGCTAATAGTATGTTTAAACATTTTAATAATTGCTAATTATTTAAATATAATTGTAAGATCTTGTAAAATGCAGATAATGCTAATTTACTTAAATAAAATATTTTACAAAAAGTCATACAATATTTGTACCTGTGTAACATAAGAGAAACAAACAAAGGAAGAAACAAAAAAATAAAAATTACTTTGGTCTAAGAACTTGGAAATGGAAACAAAGTACAAAGAATAAAGTACAGTTGAACGGACAAATAAAAATAGCAATGGAACAAAGGGAGCTCACTCAAGAAGATATATACGGCAAGAAGAAATGGCGATTGGTATGGATTAAACGGCAAATATTATATGCAGAATAAAAGCATGGATAATATAAGAAGAACTTACAGAATTCCGTTTTATATAATGTAACTACTTTTATTGGGAATTAATGGAAAGCCACAATTTTACTTTAAAATAGTGAATTTTAACGTTTTGATAGTCTTTAATAGCTTTAAGTATTTTGAACTTTAAAAAATCTGTTGGACTTGAAGTGTTTTGTTTTTTTAGTTGTGTACTTGTACATTGGCTTCGTCTCCACTATTGTATATTTATAAGGATGGAAAAATATCATCTTAATATGGAGCAAAAAATAAACAATCTAGATTTTAAAGAGGTTAAGAGTCAACTGATCTCATATGACTGGTTGAACACGAAAGTCAAATATTTGATCTGCAGTTAAATATATCAAAGGCAAAGGTCGTGAGAGTGAACAGGCTATATAACAATTGTCCACAGATAACCACGATTGTCCGGTTTGAGGTTGTAAGCTAAACGTGCTTGGACAGTGCTTTTATTGTGAAAACTCTAATTCCTTATAATCATACTCAAAATCTATTTTATATTATTTATAAAATTTACTAGTTTCTTATTTGTTTCTATTTTCCCACAAGTGAAACTGTTAACTCGAGTACCTGTACATTGTTCCTAGAATTGACAAGTTCAGTCAGTTCCTGAAACTCATAAATATTTTTTGTATTTTTTGTATTTTTTGATCGATATTGCCATGAATTCCATCAGCAGACATGTGCGTATTTTCCTTTGGTAGATATCTTATAACGATTTCATGTGATTGACCAAGGAAGTATATAGAACCCAATTTTTATTCTGGGACAAACAGTTATTTCAAAAGAAAAGGCAAAAAAAGTATTTTTGAAGTGTGTATATTTTTTAATAATTCCTAGCTGAGCGCTTTCGGCTTTACAAAGCCATCATCGGAGCTATGCTACAATAAAATGTTTTTATAAGTAACTAATTGGTGGAGATTTTAATTTTATACTTACGTCAATTTATAAATACCACTACAATGGAGAGATCTCATTTCCTTATTTGTTGAAGTATTGATTTTTTTAATTACTTAGTTTTTAAAAATTCTTAAAAAACATACAAAAAACCGACACTGGACTTCACAGACACATTAAAAAATTTTTGTCATGGTACGGGTGTAAGAACCCGACCATTGTTTGCTATGAGAATAGAAACTAATGAAATCAAATGTCTTTTTTTGTTTTTTTTTTGTGTGTTTTTGGCTTGGACAATTGTCATTCAGCCAGTCTCAATCAAGATAAGTTTATTAATGTAGTGTGTGTGTGTTTGTGTGTGTAGAGTAATTGTCTTGATACTTAGCAAATTCGACGTCATTGTCTTTGCTAAGAGACGCTAATTGTATCCGAACGTCTGCGGTCGTTCCGGTGTGTACCGATCACACAAGGATAGAAATTATGTTCATTTATTATTTTTTTTTAATAAACGTAAATTTCCACTCAGGTGGTATTCGAAGTCACGACCTTTAGGTTTAAAGGCAGGCGCTCTTACCACTGAGAAATCAAATGTCGGTCCCTTTAAACGATTTTTCAAAAGTGACAGTTGACAAATGTCATGTATAGGAAATAGAGATTGTTTGAAATTCTTACAAAAATTATTTAATAGTTTGGAATTACTAATAGTCATCAAAGACTTTCTAAAATTAAGTTTTTAAGCTTTTAAATTAAATCTTATGTGTTCATCACAATTTTTTAATGTGTCTGTGAAGTCCAGTGTCGGTTTTTTATATGTTTTTTAAGAATTTTTAACAACTAAGTAATTAAAAAAATCAAAATTTCAACAAATAAGGAAATGAGATCTCTCCATTGTAGTGGTATTTATAAATTGACGTAAGTATAAAATTAAAATCTCCACCAATTAGTTACTTATAAAAACATTTTATTGTAGCATAGCTCCGATGATGGCTTTGTAAAGCCGAAAGCGCTCAGCTAGGAATTATTAAAAAATATACACACTTCAAAAATACTTTTTTTGCCTTTTCTTTTGACTTGTCATAAGCGTGTACAAAAAACATATCAATCTTTTAAACAGTTATTTGCCCAAAATATAACTGAGAGATACCTATTTCTTTTCTTATTACTTTTGATAAGGTTGGATACAGCAAGTCGGCTAGTAAAGCACTTTTACTTTAAGGCATAATAGACAATATAATCACTTTATGTTAATCTATAGAATATACAAGTTTCGTAGAAATTACTATTTGGGTAGAGTCTTTTCTATATTCTAGATTTGCCTTTTCTGCTTTAGCACGGTGGGCAATAAGCTAATTTTGAATTTTATCGTCTTGTTTATTTTTCAACGTGTTTTTTAATATTTTGCATACTTCATAGATATATGATTTGGGTCAGCAAAGTGAAATATTCATTTCCTTTAAAATTTGACGGTATACTTCAATTTTACAAACAGATGGATGTTTTGTTACAAAATCATCAAACATTTTCTTATATGTCAACTCTCTCGGTAAATACCTAAGATTTGGGACATTTTTTTTGCACTAGTGACTCACTGATGGCTTAACTGACTCAATATGGCCCTTTATTATTTCTCGATTGGATTGCTTACGGCAGCCACCTCTATATTTTTTGACCTTATCTCCACAAGAACCTTTTTTAATTACTGCCATTAATCCTGTTTTTACAAAATCATTGGTATACCCTAAACTATTTAAAAAAGTATATCTGCATATAATGTCAATCAGAGTAAATGTGGACTGGGGCAAATGAGGACATCGAAAATAAAATTGTTAATGAAAGCGCTATGTGAAATTTGTCTTTGCATCTCCTTTCTATACTTAGGTGACATCTACCAGCAATTTAAGAATTCACAATAAAAAATGCTATTTTAACGCACCTGACACTAAAAGTTAACCTACAAAATATTTGGTGTATCGGTTTGGTCGGCTGTTACGGTAAGTACTGTTACCTTAAAAATATTTAAAATATTGAATGTTTTTCATCAAATTTGGCTTTAATTGATTAAGTATAACATTTTTTTTAATAAAAATCCACTAGGAATCTTATATCCTGTAGCTGGCTGTATACCATATATCACAAAAAATTTATTTCAAATCCTTTATAAAAGGTATATAATAAAATGCCCAAACGGGCTATCACAAATATATTACAAAACGTTTTCGGATTGTTAAATCCATCATCAGTGTAAACGAGGTATACATGCTATGAGCCACCAAAATATATAAGTCAAAACCCTTTAAATGATATAAATTTACAGTTGCTTTACATTATATGTGGTTACAAATTATGATATTTAAGTTACCGTTGGAATTGGTAACATGACGACGTATGACCCTACATAGGTAAAATGGTCCTGAGACGAAATGTCTTCGAGGACCTGTTGTTTAACAATCCGAAAATGTTTTGTAATATTGTTACGATTTTAAATGTTATGGCATATAGAACTGTAAATATTTTATGACTAATTCTTTTTTTATTGATTCTCGTAATTTGTAGGTCAAAATATACCTGAGCTTCGCTACCAGTTATTTACAGAAATCTCTAGACACTAATTTTAGTGAGTCATCCACGTCTCGAGGTTGAAAAACGAGTCGAGCGCCTTCACCAAAATACGAGATTATTCAGGAACTTTGCCGAAAGTTCCAGATGACAACAGCTGTGTATATAAATGAAAGATTTTTGTATTTGAGTCAGTGATAAGAAGATCGGTAAACGCGATATTTAAATGTAACGAAACGTGAAATAAATACATTTGTAAAGTTATTTAATAAATTAGAATATAGACAATAAATTAGAATAAAGACAAATAAATTAGAACTATAAAAAGACGTCACAGTGGTGCAGAAGTGGGGTTGTAGATAAATTTAATTTGAATTTTTGAAAAGAAGTGAAATTGGTGAACGATGGCTACGATTTACGAGCTCACAGTTACGAATCTAAGAAGGCATCTTGAGGATAGAGAATTAGCTTCTACCGGAAAAAAGGCTGAGTTAGTCCAACGACTAAAGAATGCTTTGGAGGAAGAGGGTTTAGATCCGGAAACTTATATATTTGAAGATGCTGTCATCGTGTCAATTTCTGGTGACATCGCATCATTAGAGAACAGAGTTCATGGCGATATTTCGAAAGTTTCCTCTGATGTAGCCAAAGTTTGCGGCGACATCGCCTCTTTAGAAGACAAAGTGTCTAACGAGATTTCTTCTCTAGAAAGCAAAGTCTCTGCTAACATCTCCTTGGAAATCTCTAAAGTCACTTCGGAGATGTCTGCTCTCGACGATAGAGTGTCTTCATTAAAAAACCAAGTTGCTGCCGATATGATGGCCTTCGAAGAGAAGATATGGAAAGAGTTGGAAAGGAAGATTGAGGGAACAGGAACAACAGAGAGAGTAAACAATCCAATTACCATAGAGACAAAAGAAGACGAGACGAAATGTAAGTTGGAAACACGGCCGAAATGTGAAGGAAGTGGAAGTTCCGTTCATGTCAAAGTCCCAACTTTCGACGGAAAATCATCATGGAACAACTACATGAAACAGTTCGAATCAGCTGCAAGAGCGAATGGATGGTCTGAAAAAGAAAAGGCTGTAAACCTGACTATCGCTCTTCGAGGAGATGCCTTAGATGTGCTCCAGACCATAGCCGTAGAGGAGACGGATGATTTCGAACAACTGAAGAAGAGGTTAAATATGCGATATGGCCACGAACACTTGGAGCATGTATATCAGTCGCAGCTCAAAAATCGAAGACAAAAGAAAGATGAGGCTCTTCAAGAATATGAAGTAGATATCGCCAGATTAGTGCGATATGCTTATCCAACAGCTCCCGAATGAGCTTTAACAGCTTCGTGATCATGAGATGCAAAGAACACTACGATTAGCTCGTCACAAGACGCTGGTTGATGTCTTATCCGCCGCTCTTGAATACGAGTCAGCCACGCAGGCCTCTGGCGGGTACAGTAAAGTTAGGACTGTAAAAGAGGAAGGAGATGAAGATAAACTTGACCAGCTCATTAATACGATAAAAAGCATGACATACAAGAAACCGAAGACCATAAGATGCTGGAATTGTGGCGAAATAGGACACGTACGAAGTTCTTGTAAGCATCCTAGGTACGACGCAAATCAAGAAACTCACCATCAGGAAAACTAGAACGGGTCGGCCTTAGGGGGGCAGCTTCGACCCAGAACTTTTCCAAAGACCCTCTCATACTGATAGCTTCTTTGAAATGTCTTGAAGATAGTGTATATGTAGATGGAGAAATAAATGGTAAAAAGCATATGTTGTTGGTGGATACCGGAGCGACAAGAACCATTATTCGCCCGACAGTTATAAACAGCCGTAAGAAACTGTTACCAACGAGATTGCGACTTCGTACCGCTACAGGTGAAAATGCCAACATTCACGGAGAAATCCAGATACAATTAGGAATTGGAGCAGAAAAGTTCGTCCATACTGTTATAGTTGCTGACATCGAAGAGGATGTTATATTAGGAATGGACGTAATGAATACGCATGGATTCCAATTGGATTTTAAGAATAAGGTAATCAAAGTTGGTAACGAGGAGGTATTTCTCCATCCACATGATGACAACACTATGCAAGCAGCCGTTAAAGAAGATACAATCGTGCCTGCGAGAAGTGAAACGATAATAGTAGCGCGGCTACAGGGAATTGTGGACGAAGGAACACCTGTTATGATGGAGCCTTGGAATCATGACGACGAAGTTGGCCGTGGAATCATAATTGGAAAGGAATTGGTGACTTCGGCTAAAGAAATTCCTGTGAGACTTATTAATGTCAATGACTACCCAGTGACCATCAAGAAAGAGACAAAAGTAGGAACTTGTGTACCTGTTACATCCATAATCCGTCAGACGACAACGTCTGATAATTCCAACGACAAATTTGATCAAATGGTTGCAGTTGCTGGACAGTCTCTGAATCAGATTGAGAAAAGGAAATTAAGGGAATTTCTTCGGCAGTATCGTGATATTTTCGTACCGAAAGGAGGAAAGACGGGAAGAACTACCGTTGTTAAGCATAGAATTGATACTGGTAATGCTAAGCCAATTCGTCAAACAGCTCGACGATTACCACAGGCGAAAAGAGAGGAAGCTGAAACGATTGTTCAGGAAATGAAGAAAGACGGGGTAATAGAACCTTCTACGAGCCCATGGTTCTCTCCGGTGGTCCTGGTTAAGAAGAAAGACGGAACAACGAGGTTCTGTGTGGATTACCGTTTGCTGAACAACGTTACCAAGAAAGATAGTTATCCTCTGCCTCGGATCGATGACACATTAGACACATTGGCTGGAAGTAAATTATTTTCTACTTTGGATTTGAAGTCTGGATACTGGCAGGTAGAAATGGACCCGATAGATAAAGAAAAGACAGCCTTTACCACAGGATCTGGATTACGGCAATTCAACGTTATGCCATTTGGACTTTGTAACGCTCCTGCGACATTTGAGAGGCTTATGGAAAATGTGTTGAGAGGGTTATCTTGGAAAACATGCCTAGTTTATCTAGACGACATAATCGTCTTGGGGGAGACATTTGAAGACCATCTGAAGAATTTAGAAAACGTTTTTAATCGACTTAAAGCTGCCCAATTGATGTTAAACCCCAAGAAGTGCCAGCTATTTCAAGGTAAAGTCAATTATCTGGGTCATATAGTCAGTAAAGAAGGAGTGGCTGTGGATAAGGGAAAAATCGACTCCATTAAGGAATGGCCAAAACCAACTGACAAACATCAAGTGAGAAGTTTTCTGGGACTATGTACTTACTACCGGAGGTTTATTAAGAAGTTTGCAGATATCGCTAAACCATTAACGCGACTTACAGAGGAAGCAAGAGAATACCGCTGGGATGTAGACTGCCAGAATGCCTTTGAGACCTTAAAAAAGCATTTAATCACAGCACCAATTTTAGGGTATCCACTGCCAGAAGGAGAGTTCATCATAGATACAGATGCAAGTAATGTGGGAATTGGAGGAGTGCTGTCTCAGATTCAAGGAGGACAGGAAAGAGTCCTTGGATATTTTAGTAAAGTTCTCTCAAAACCTGAGCGAAATTATTGCGTCACGAGAAGAGAACTTCTGGCAGTAGTGAAATCAGCAGAGCACTTCTATCAATACCTCTATGGAAGGAAGTTTTTAATCCGAACCGACCATGCCGCCCTTAAGTGGTTGATGCAGTTTAAGAATCCAGAGGGTCAGATAGCCAGGTGGATCGAACGACTCCAAGAATATGATTTTAAGATTGAGCACCGGGCCGGAGTTAGCCACCGAAACGCCGATTCTCTTTCCAGAAGGCCATGCCCAGCAGAGTGTTCTCACTGCAACAAAACGGAATCCAAGGAAGCAGCAGTGCTAAGAACGACGGTGGTCCACGACGACTGGACGCCTACCAAGATCAGCGAAGAACAAGAGAGAGATCCAGTTATACAGAAAATCCGAAAATGGAAAGAGGAAAACCGTCGACCACCTTGGCAAGAAATATCGAACCTAGGCTCAATAGTTAAGACGTATTGGGCCCAGTGGGACTCATTTATCATGGAAGATGGCTTGCTCAAACGAGTCCTGGAAAATGATGACGGTTCAGAGAAGAGAAGACAGTTGGTGATTCCAAAGAGCAGAATAGCCGAAGTACTTCATCAGTTACACGACAGTCCATCAGGAGGGCATTTTGGTGTGAAAAAGACCCTTCAGCGAATTCGGGAACGGTTTTATTGGATGAACAGTTCCGACGATGTAAAAGACTGGTGTAAGAAATGTACTATTTGTGCTACGAGTAACGGGCCTTATCGAAAAAGGAGAGCTCCTATGAGACAATATAATGTTGGAAGCCCGTTTGAAAGAATAGCTTTGGACATTGCTGGGCCATTTCCAGAAAGTGATAATGGAGGCAAGTACATGTTGGTAGTAATGGATTACTTCACTAAGTGGGTCGAGATTTACGCACTTCCAGACCAGAAGGCCACCACTGTTGCAGATAAGTTGATCCAAGAATATATCAGCCGATTTGGAGTGCCTTTGGAGATCCATAGTGACCAAGGCAGGAACTTCGAAAGCGATTTATTCCAAGGAATATGTGATAGACTAGGTATGAAGAAAACAAGAACTACGGCTTATCATCCGCAATCGGATGGTATGGTAGAACGGATGAATAGAACAGTTGGCAAGTATTTGACAAAGATGGTGTCCGATCATCAGCGAGACTGGGACCAATATCTTCCGTTCTTCACAATGGCCTACAGATCTGCTGTTAATGAATCAACAGGCCAGACACCAGCCAGAGTCCTATTCGGACGCGAGATGCGACTACCTTGTGATCTAGAGTTTGGGTGTCGACCTGGAGAAGATGTAGCAGGTGAAGATTATGTGATCGAATTACGAAGAAGAATGGACGATGTACACGAGTTGGTCCGTTCCCATCTCCAAATCGCTAGTGACCGAATGAAGAAACGGTACGATACACAAGCCGAAAAGGGGTGTTTTAAGAAGAACGATAAAGTCTGGCTTTATAACCCCAAAAAGCGAAAAGGTTGTTCTCCCAAATTGCAGCAGTTTTGGGAAGGTCCATACCTCGTTATGGAGAAGATCAATGATGTTATTTACCGAATAAGCAAGATTCCGAGAGGAAAGCCGATGATAGTACACCATAACCGGTTGGCGTCTTTCGAGGGTGACCACGACGTAGATGAAGAAGTGGAAGTAAACCAAGTCCAAGATGTGTCTGACCTCACGTTTGAGGAATTCATGGGTGCCTATGGAGGTACCGGTAAAGCAAGACATGGTGTTACCACTGAAGAAAGGCAAGATCTACTCGCGCTTCCCGATGACTACTCACTGGCCCTTACCATCCCGGCCAGTATCAAAGATGCACCAGGGTTGGCATCCGTCTTTCGAAGGAAGTTTGGTCGAGTTGCAGAACTTCAATGCCAAGTGCCAGCTCCTGGTAAAACCTTGAAACTTCAAGATGCATCACGTTACCTTTTCTACCTGGTAACAAAAGACACTGCCCGTGACCAACCTACCTACCGAGATGTATGGGAAGCCTTACTTCAGTTGAGAGAGCACGTACTAGAGTCCGACGTGCAAAAGTTAGCCATGCCAAAGTTGGAGTGCCGCCAATTAGATTGGAGGGTTATACGAAACATGGTGGAGGAAATCTTTAAAGACACCGAAGTCCAGGTGTTAGTCTGTTGCAATCCGCATAGTTACTGCTGCGGAGAGAAAACCGTCCCTTGTCATTTCTATACAACTGGAAGTTGTAAAAGAGGGTCCAGTTGCCGATATCAGCATGTCGTTCAAGTTCCAGTCCCGACAAGGTTCCAGGAGGAACCATCTTTTAAGAGGGGGGCAATGTTACGATTTTAAATGTTATGGCATATAGAACTGTAAATATTTTATGACTAATTCTTTTTTTATTGATTCTCGTAATTTGTAGGTCAAAATATACCTGAGCTTCGCTACCAGTTATTTACAGAAATCTCTAGACACTAATTTTAGTGAGTCATCCACGTCTCGAGGTTGAAAAACGAGTCGAGCGCCTTCACCAAAATACGAGATTATTCAGGAAGTTTGCCGAAAGTTCCAGATGACAACAGCTGTGTATATAAATGAAAGATTTTTGTATTTGAGTCAGTGATAAGAAGATCGGTAAACGCGATATTTAAATGTAACGAAACGTGAAATAAATACATTTGTAAAGTTATTTAATAAATTAGTAATTAGCTATCGTGAGTTTTAATAAATTAGAATATAGACAATAAATTAGAATAAAGACAAATAAATTAGAACTATAAAAAGACGTCACAATATATTTGTGATAGCCCGTTTGGGCATTTTATTATATACCTTTTATAAAGGATTTGAAATAAATTTTTTTAATACTTGATTTAACTGCAAACCTTTGTGAGATGTTTATTTTGTGTGTCCACATTTGCACCAAAATAATATGTACAAGAGGTAAATGAAGACAGAATTTTGGGGCAATTGAGAACGCGTCCCTAATTGCCACCAATTACCATTATACAGAGACTTAGTTTCTAATTGATACTCATTTTTTCGTTACAGGTTAAAATAAATTGCAATGTGGTAAGAAAATATATTAGAAATATACCAGAGAAAACTTACACGACAGAAAACGTAAAAGCTGAGAAAGCTCAGAAAGCTGTAGGACGTGAATCTCTGTCCTGGCATTTGGTTTTCACCTCTGGCTGCGTTAAGTAGTTGAGTTACTGTGACCAAATGCCCATCTTGGTAGTTATTATTCGCCTCTGGTTGCGTTGAGTAACTGAGTTACCGTTGATAACTACCCATCTTCCTGTCTTTTGTTTTCTTTTTCTTTGTTCTCCTAAAGAAGCTACATACAATTGTAGCGAAACGTCGAGATGAACCCACTTTTGGGTCACTCACAAATGACACGGTCCAAACCCGGAAGACGAATAAACTATAATTCTGACTCTGGCCGTGGAAGCCTACGATTTCATTTGAGTACTTGCTTTACACAAATATATGTTGAAAGTTATAATTTCTTAAAACATCTCTCCTCGATCGCATAAAAATATTTTTATTGCACGAAAAATTTAATCACACTAATTGTTCCCAAAATATATTAATTTATTTGAAATTGAGGTAAGTGTCCCCCATTACCCCTACTGACCTTAATACCTCTGTGTCAGTAGAATTTTTTAGTGGTAAAGTGTAACGCCTTAATTCACACCCCTTACTTTTGGCTGACTGGGTTCTACGTTTTACAAGAAACTGTAAAACAAATAAAGCTATTTGTTTGTACAACCACTTTCGTCTACTCGTGTACTCTAAATTCCAGTACTCCATCAAATATATTGTTTCCATGTTCTTAGGTTATTTTTTGCACATCCCGCCACACTTACCTTCACACACGGCTCCCATAGAATGTTTTTCCTTATCCCTTTCATTAGGTTTGTTTCCCCTTTGCCTATTTTTATTCTTCCTTGGTTTTGTTGTGCGATCCACTTCGTAAATTATTTCTGTTTTAGTACCATTAACCTAAAACAAAATAAAATCAATGTTAAATTTAGTTTATTAAACATAAACCAGAAACTTACCAAACAATTAGTATCTTCTTTAGTTTGCAGAAGGGCACTGGGCGATTCAGCTGTAATAACATTGTTCTAATTTAATGGATTTTAAACATAATTTTTTTAGGATTTTTTGTTGGTATTAAATTTTCTTTTCTTTGTCAATTTTCATTTCGTCATAATTTTCGCTATCACTAGAATATGGTTGTGGTGTGGGGCAGTAACAATCCTTATCTCAGTCACTGTCATCGACTGGGCTTTTTATGCGATTAACTTTTAAATATTCCATTTCTCGTGCCAAATCATTTAACGAGCAAAAAGTTTGCAACCTTTTTAAGTATGTTTCTTTTGGATTTTTAATTTTATAATTAGACATAAAATGAAGATGTTTCAAAATTAACTTTTGGAAAAAGCGGAAGCTCATTGATATTACAAAAACATAAAGACTTATTGTCGGTACAATAATGATAATATGTTGTTTCAGTAATATTTTAAGCTACCTTCTTTAACCCGGTGACTGTATTGTGGGGTATCACATACTCCACGAGAATTTAAAACGTCCGCGTTTGCGCAACTTCAAACATCAAACAGTAAAACCCCGCCTACCTTCGAGTTAGGTTATATACTGTCTTCAGCAGTTTGTTTGCGACCGTCGAGTGAAGCAGTAGTAAAATTTTTTTCGTGTAAACAGCGTTGGGGTGTTGTATATCCCACCATAGCAGTAGTGTTATATATTTTTTAAGGTAATGTATTGAAATTTATTGTATATTTGCAGGGTTTTAGTGATATTTTATTACAAAATGTCTTATGAACAAGAACAAAGAAGGCTCCTGCAATTGTGGGAAGAATCGCAAGATGAACACGCTATTGGTTCAGAATCTGAGGGAGAACTTCCCGATCATATTAGCGAAAATTCAATGTCAGAATCAGATTCTGAAATTGTGGATCCAGAAGTGCCTGAAGCAATGACAGAAAACATATCCACTAACTCAGCAATAGACAATGAATCCTCAAATACAAGAGAATATTTTATAGGACGTGATGGAAAAACTAAGTGGTCAAAATCTTGTGGTAACCTCAAACTACGCACACGACGCGAGAATATCGTAAGCCATCTTCCGGGACCAAAGGGCGTTCCTCGAAATGCGAAAACTCCTCTTGAGTGTTTTAATTTATTTTTGAACGATATGATGTTGGCAGATATTGTAAAGTATACGAATCTGAATATGGGTCAGAAAGCAACAGCTTATAACAAGAATATGCAATACCTCGTAAAACCAATAACAATACAAGAAATGAAGGCGGTGCTTGGACTTCTGTATTTGGCTGGTGTATTTCGTGCCAATAGGATGAATTTAGAAGATTTATGGAGTACTGATGGCTTAGGCGTAGATATTTTTAGAACAATTATGTCACTGAAACGTTTTATGTTCATTATATCTCCCATGCGATTTGATAATAAAGAGTCCAGAAATAAAAGACGCCAGTTAGATAAATTTGCCCCTTTTCGAGTAATGTTTGATCTTTTTACCGAAAATTGCAAAGCTTACTACATTCCTGGAGAATACGTCACTATAGATGAAAAACTGGAGTCCTTTCGCGGGCGATGCCCGTTCAAGCAATACATGTCAAATAAACCGGCAAAATACGGCTTGAAAATGTTTACCGTTGTAGATGCGAGAACATTTTACCTGTTTAATATGGAGGCGTACCTCGGAAAACAACCCGAAGGTCCGTTTCAAATAAGTAACAAACCAGAAGACATTGTTGTTAGATTAATAGTACCCATAAGTGGCACTGCCAGAAACGTTACTTTTGACAATTAGTTTGCCAGTTATCCTCTGCTATACACATTACTAAAAGACAGCTGTCTGCACCTTACGTATAAATAAAAGGGAGCTTCCTCCTGCCTTTGTTCAGACAAAGAAGAGACCTGAACGTTTTCACTCTTTGGTTTTACGCATGATGTAACATTGCTGTCATACATTCCTCGGAGAGGAAAGAATATTTTACTTCTTTCTTCCCTCCATCATGATGACAAAATAGATCCAGCCACTGGCGAAGCTGAAAAACCAGAGATGATTAGTTTTTACAACTTCACTAAAGGAAGAGTAGACGTGGTAGACGAGCTTAGTGGTACCTAAGTGTGAGTAGAAATACTAGGAGATGGCCGCTAGCCATGTTTTATTCATTGCTGAATACCGCTGGAATTATTGCTATGATAATTTTTAATGCAAACAATCCTGTGGATAATAGGATGAAGCGAGGTGTTTTCTTGAAAGTGTTGGGACTATCTTTGATTACAGACCACCTTCATGAGAGGAAAGAAAATTCAAAATTACCCAGAGTGTTGAGAAAGAAAATAATAACATCATCAAAGAAGCGCAAGAACGAAGATTAACCTCAGCCATCAACGTCCAAAAAAAAGATAAGGAATGGGAAGATGTTGTATCTGTCCACGGTCAAAAGATAGAAAATCTCATCTAACTTGTTCTGCTTGTGAGCAGTGGGTTTGCATGGAACATTCAGAGCAAATATGTATCAAATGTAAAATAAGTGACGCAGATTAGATTTAGATAAGATTAGAGTTTTTATGTTACAAGCAGCTTTTATATACGTTTAGTGTCCAAGTTAGGATTACTCTAGTATTATCGGTAAATTTTTATCATATTCTGATAGGTTTTGTAATACTAAATCTCCTTTCATGCTCAACTTTGTTTTAATAATATAAATAATACATTGATTAAGGTAATTTTGTAGTATATAAAAGAATATATTAAATATTCAAACGGGGTATCTCATACCCCACCATATCATACATGTTGTAATTTTCGACCATACTGGCGCCGGGTTAAACACGAACGTGCCAACGAAACTATATTTTTAGTTCGCGTTCTATATGCCAGCTTTGTCTAATGAGGCAGCATCCTATCGCTTTGGTGATTAGAGTCGAACTGCTGGAAAAATACAGTGTGTTTACTGTTACACGGTTGCCATGATGTAGGCCAGGATAGGAGGGGTTGGACTTTCTACATAAATTAAATGATTTCTTAAAGTAATACACAGCAACTACAAAAACCATTACAAAACCCAGCCACGACTTAGCATTTTCTTGGTCTTAATATGGTTTTTGTCAGTTACTGTGTTTTGCACTGGAAGAAACCTCGATCGACTATCAGTTACTGTATTTTGCGTATACCGTATTTTACTTATAGGCGGATTTTAGTTAATATTATCAGAAGTTAGAGCAAAACCCAGCAACTTTAAATTTATAAAAATGTTGACAAAAATGATGGTTACTGTGTTTTGAAATGAGCAGCCAATTTACCTCCGCGAATATTATATTGTATGTATTGTAACCCTGTAATATTCTACGCTATGCCCAATTTTCAAATGCCTCCAGCTTACCAAACACAAAAAGACTGGAAAAATATATCACTTAAGCCTAATTATTTTAATTTTAGGCTTAGGTTTACACTAAATAGTATTTTGTTTCATGTTTACCACACTGCGGGCTTTCTTTATTATTATTCTTTGATATCCGGTGTATTCATTTGATTCGATGAATTAATTTTTGTTTGTAGGTAACTGTTATTTTATAATCGTATTTAATAGACCATCGCTACACTAACATAATCAAATATATCTACCAAAATACCACAGCTATCGTAATTCTATTTGAAAAAGAAACAAATAAATTTTGTATACAGCGAGGAGTACAACAAGATACTTCTTATCAAAGAAGACACAGTCTCTCCAAAGCTATACACGACGCTTTAAGAACATACTTGTTAGAAAGCACATCTGAACAAGCACGGTTTCAACATAAATTAAGAGAAGCTCAGTCCTTTGAGACGTTAACATGGACAACCGATGGATAAAACGTATTTTAGAGAGGAGACCAAGGCAAGAAGCAATACGGAGCAGATGACGCCCACCAACTAGATGGATTGATGATCTGAAGCGTGTTAGCAATAACTGGAAGCAAGCCGCATAAGACAGAGACAGATAGAAAGAGCTAAGGGAGACCTATGTCTAGCAGTGGACGCATACAGGTTGATGATGATGATGATGAATTGTTATTTTGTACTCGTTTAAGTCTTATAAATAATTTGACGTTTCTTTGTAATTCTTATAAATTTGTGTTCTTTGTATTCAGCGATAGACATAATTCTTCACTTGTTTGCACTACTTTATTTAGTAGGTCTCTGTAGGTCATCTATACTTTTCACAATGACCGTGGTATCATAAGCGTATCGGATATTCAAAAGGGGATAACTGTTGATCTTTATTTCGACTGTTTCGTCCCAAAGGACTTTTTTAAAAACTCTTTTTGACTAGACGTTGACAAAGGTTGGAGACAATACACAGTCCTATCGAACAATCCTTTTAATTTTTATTTTATCTGATACAGAGCTATTTATTCGTAATGTAGTTTTTTTTTTCATAGCAAATATTACTTAATACCTTACTACCATATTAATAGTCAAATATTCAATATCAATTTTAAACATACTTAATATATGTTTAATACGTATTTTTAAATTTTATGTAAGACTACTTTTATACACATTTATTTGGAAGTCATTTGGAAATTGGCTAAATTTACCTCAACCTATTGTACTATAACGTAAATTGAACGTAAGATTGATTATTTCACATTAGAACCGAAATTTCCAGCAGACGAATCATTGGACAAAGTAAATTCACCTGAACTAATCAAACACAGGAATCAAATCCATTCATTATATGTATTACTACATATTAGGTACAAGGATTTGCATCTGACGTGTTTGGCCGGAAGGAATATCAGACTTATTCTCAAAATGTGGCTTGTTATAGCAATCGATATTTTCATGCAGCTTACTTTATGCGCTATGCTAATTACTGGATACCTTTTTGAAATGTTTTTATTCTAAGATATATTTAGTGATGGAAATGTATTTCATCATAACCATACATCAACACGAAATTACAAATAATAATTAAACACGTGTTAAAATATTTTACTTGAAGAATGCGTATTGGCAACGAAATGTGTGTCATGTTGTAGCATTTTTTTTATACTAATATAACAAATTATTTTTAATTCCTTTTACCACCGTGCGATACGCCGATGATTAGGAATCCCCGTGTTTACGATAGGAAAATATTATTGTAGAAACCAAGCTGAAATGGAATTCCCTAATTAAGAAAGGTTTTTAATCCTTCCGTCTTAATACTCTGTATGAAAAGATCAAATGCTTTCCGGTATGCAGTTTCTTTTTCATAAATTGGTAATTTTCGCCGAAGGCCCGTATCTTTTGACAATAATATAATCCTAAGGATTTTATTCTCAGGTCCAATTGTTAATACCGATTATTTTACCTCAAACTTTCCAATAGTCGTTAAGGCCTTACCTTTTAAAAAATACATACGACTGTCCGATGATTTTAAGTGGGGGATATACCTTCTTCTTCTTTTTTCTTGGATAGTTGGTGAAATTTTTAGGGAACCAACTTACTTCTCGGTGGGCTCTTGTTGAGTGAAGTGATATCTCGTGATGCGCTTTGCTCACGATATTTCTTATCTTATCGTCGCTGTGAATTATTTTCTAAGTGTGTGTACACTTCATATTTGAGTTTTCTTTCCTTAGACTATATTAAATTATATATAGTTTTACACTACCTTTAATGGTTATTAAATTCAGTGTTTAGTACCAGAAAAGTATTAAATTCAGTGAATTAAGCTGGCTTCGTCAAGATCTACTGTAAGTAATCTTTATCGACAATTATCTGGGCGAGTAATATGGTATGGTACCATATCACCTGCCATTATATGGACGTATCATCTATATCTTCACCTGTAGATTGCCGATTTTTGAATGTAATTGAACCATTCAAGAAATTTCTATAAATATTACCTATGAACATACAAGTCTCAGTTTTTTAATAAATAATAGTGCGAGATAGTTAATTGACTTAACCAAGTGCGGTTTGGTTTATGTTTTCATTCCTGTAACCTTTTTGGTTTTTTTGTAAATTTAGAGTTAAGTAATTTTTGCTTTTTTTGTATTTTCTATAATTTTTGTTCATTATCTTTCCTATGATATCTCGAGATACACCAAACTATATTTGTACATGATTGCCTTATATATTTTGGTAAAGGTATTTTTTTATTACATTATAGCTTAATTTTATACATATTTAACACCATTTCTTAGTTGTGTATTTTTATTACCTGGGTTGCATTTAGCAGCATCTTAATTTTTTGTTTCATATATTGTTATTGTTTTATGCATGCATTTTATTTGTCGGTTCCTAACAAGTTCCCTAATAAAATAATAGCTCTGAACAATTACTATCTTTAAATATTACTATGCTTTTGAACTGTAGAAAGAAAAGGCTGATTAAGTTTCGTAGGTAAGTAAGTGTAATACTTAATATATTTATTATTTGTTTATATATTGCGTTTACCAGATTTATTTAATAATTTACTGTTGGTATCTTTCCTTGGGTTTGATCTCTGAACCTAAATATCTTTTCTTATCTCTTTTCTTTTCTAAGGTTTTCTTAATTTTCTCCTTAATCCCAAAAAATTGAGTGGCGCCCTGTTTCTATTTTTTCTTATCTTTGGTAATTTTACCCATCTATCTTTTTGTTTATTTCCGTATCTTTTCTAATATCTCTGATCCTATCTTTACCTATTTCTTCCGTTGGATCCATTCCCGGTTCCAAAAGCTAGTTTCGAACCAACGACTCGCTCTCCACCAACCATCTGGCTGCCGTCCGCAGTGTCTCCATTGGTTATCTTTCTAGCACCACCCAAAAAAGATTTCCGAGGTTATAATGTGTAAAGAAACCTGTAGATAATGTAGTTTTTATGAATCAATGATTTTTTTTGCAATGTTCATAGTCCATAATCAACTATAAAATTAGTTATTGGAGGTTGTATAGAGGGACAAACACAAGTTAGTACAATATTTCCTTTTGGTTATTTTATACAACTGTTATATGAATGCCTTTAATATTCCACTAATAGCGTAAATTTTTAGAACATGTATACTCGTGCCAGTCCAAGATACCGGTGTTTATTAAACATTTTTTTTTTGGAAAAAATATCATACCCTTTCATTAGTGAACAATAATGCGCTTCTGGGATTATCTATCTACATATTACTGAAACTGTTTTTTTTTAGTTACATCCTTAGTTAAATAAAATAGAAGGAAACGTGTCTTATTTAACGACAAATAAAAAATGTTAATTTTTGCATGAGCTGTCAAAATAAGTTATGTTCTTTCAAAAGAACAGTAGTAAAAAGCAACCTATACTAGAAAGTAAAACTTTATTAATATAAAATTGCAAACTATGGAAATTCTTAAAAACATTCTTTTGGGTGTAATATTTTATATTTTTTGCTCAAAAACTAAATCTTTCTTTTGAAAAGGCCGCAACGAGATTGTTTTTCTTAAAAAAAAAATTAAATGATTCATGCCATCATATCTTGAATGTAAGACCATGTTGGGATTCCGTTTTGTTGGGTCGCGTTTGATATCTTTTTGAAGGTTTGTAGAATGTTGCAAGCTACTTGCCTTCTAAATTCAAGCTGATCAAGGCTTACTCTGCAGCACAGAAAGAGGATGAGGAAATAGAAGAATTCTACAAACAACTTGAATGCATTCTGGAATCGACCAAAAAAGAAGAGGTCACCGTAATCATGAGCGACTTTAACGCTAAAGTTGGTAAGGTGAAAACTAATGGATGCACTGGTAAATTTGGACTTGGACAAGTCAACGATGCATTTACATATTTATATTAAACTTTTCTAATCAAATGGTTCAACACAACTTTATAATTATAATTTATTCATAGAATCCTTCTTAATTTCAGTTCCAAATGTTATGAACCTTGGACTGCTGGAAGTTTAATCAATCTTCACCTGTGGCTGGCTAACCAGCTACAACGTAGACTATTGATATACAAATTTTTAGATTCACCTCACTTGTTTGTTCTTTGCTTCTTTCAATCGATCACTGGGGGGAAAAATGGTGTTTTCAACCACTTTTTTTTTTTAATTTTTTGTGTATTTACATACAGGTTGTCGACCAAATTTGTCATATTTTTTAAATAATTTGCTCAATTGTACTAGAGTTGATAATTCACCTTGTTGTTCTGTCACGCGTTGACCTCAAGCGTGACCCTGTCTTTTGACGTTGTTGGCGTACTAATACCTGTTGCCTTTATTTCACCGGCAGCAGACCAGAAGCTCATAGTGGTAAATTCATTATATTTTTAAATTACAAAATCCTAATCTATTCACTTTAATGCTATTAAAGTCAAAATCAAACTTTAACTATTGATATACTGTTGGAAGTGCATTCTTGGATCTGTATTTATTTCAATTAATTGTTTATACAACATAATCTTTTAATGTCCATTGTCATAAGCTTCTTTACAATTTTAATATCATTGACTGCTACATGTCTTTTTGAGGTAACACATAATAACTTTTCTATAGATGTTTGGTTTTTGATATTGTACTTTTTAGATGAACTGATTATACTTTCTGATTAGAGAGCGAAACGTCTTTAATAAATAGATGAAGTAGCCACCTATTTTGTCTTTTTTCTCCACCTTTTGACAGAAAAACCCACCAATCTTCGAGTGATCCTTAATTTATATATATATATATATATATATATATATATATATATATATATATATAGATATATATATATATATATATATATATATATATATATATATATATATATATATATATATATATATATATATATATATATATATATATATATATATATATA